AAGAAAAATTCAATTAATGCAAATGTCCCGAATAACAATTTAATTCAAATAAACACAATTAAAGAAAATAATTCATTTAAACAAAACAATTAATTAAAATACCACAACTCAAATAAACAATTTGACACATAAGCACATATCCACAAAAATCAATTTATAAATGCACATAGCACCAAATTTAAATTTCAATTTTATCCTTTTGAAAACTAGGGGTATTACACCATATTACATGTGTCTTAGAATCAAAATTTCTCAATTTCAAAGAATTAAGTTTTGTTGTTTCAAATTTATAGAAAGGTTAAGTGATGCAAACTCCCTGTAATATAAATTTTGTGCACAAATAGTCTCTTTTTTGAAAATGTGCATTTCAGTCTATAAAATTAAAAAAAGTGCAAATAAGTCCTTCTAACTACTTTTTGACAAAAAGTAAAGGGTAAAGTACAGTTACACCCCCTGAGGTTTGGCAAAAGGATACTAATAGAAAACTTATCTGTTTTTTGGACAAAGACACCCACTAAAGGTTCAAAAATAGACAAAGACACCTCTTTACATGAAAAAATGACCAAATTACCCTTTGACCGTTTATGAGACTTTTTTAACTTTACAATTTAATAAATTGTACCAGTTTACCCTCACGAACAATTTATGCATAAAAAAAAAAAAGAAGTAAAAAGTAAAAAAAAAAAAAATTATATTGTTCACTTTTTTCTTTTTTTTTTTTTTTTTTTTTTTTTTTTTACTTTATTAATGTCCCTACTTCTAAAAATGTAGAAGTCTAAAATGATTTTTTAATCCAATACATATATTTCAAAGAAATTATATTTTGTTATTACTTCTTTTCTTTTTCTTTTTTTATTTTTAAATTAAGATGCTTAATTTTTCATCAAAAAAAATTAAACTAATCACTTTTCCTTAAAAATAAAAAATATGGTACCAGTATAACTTTATGTATCTTAAATTATATATTAAATATTATGCATTTCCCAACATAAAAGGGAAAAAAAATAATAATAAAACAAAGGGGAAAAAAAAAAACACGAAGGCATGCATAAAGTTAAGATACATAAAGTTATACAATATTTGATATATAATTTAAGATACCTATTTTCTTTTATGTTGGGAAATGCATAATATTTGATATATAATTTAAGATACATAAAGTTATACCGGTACCATATTTTTTATTTCTAAGGAAAAGAGATTGGTTTAATTTTTTTAGATGAAAGAATGAAGCATCTTAATTTAAAAATAAAAAATAAAAAGAAAAGGAGTAATAACAAAATATAATTTATTTGAAATATATGTATTGAATCAAAAAAATCATTTTAGACGTCCACATTTTAAGAAGTTGGGACATTTATATAAAAAAAAGAAGTGAACAGTATAATTTTTTTTTTTTTTTAAACTTTTTTTTATGCATAAATTATTCATGAAGGTAGATTGGTCCAATTTATTAAATTGTAAAGTTAAAAAAGTCTCCTAAATGGTCAAAGGGTAATTTGGTCAATTTTTCATGTAAAGGGGTATTTTTGTTCATTTTTGAACCTTCAGGGAGTGTTTTTGTCCAAAAATAAGGTAAGTTTCTTCTGAGTGTCATTTTGCCAAACCTCAGGGGATGTGACTGTACTTTACCTAAAAGTAAACATGAAAACTCGATTTTACCCTTATTGTTCCCATTTTGCCCCTAAAGAAGACTCATTGCTTCTCTCACTCTTCCCCCACCATGGCCACCTCAAGAAAGTTTATTAATGTTTCATTGATAGGCTATGTGATTAATTATCAAATTTGCTAACTGTCACCGTAGTTCTATGCATGAGTTGCTTGTCATTACATATGTTACACAAATAATATATGTTTCAGAGCTATAAGCATTCTCATTCATAGTATTCACTATATTCATATCCATATATTTGTTTTCTACTTCATTTTACCTTAAATATTGATTTAGTAAAACATGTTCGATTACCTAATCAAATTAACTCCAAAATATTAGGTTCGTTTGGTTAGACAAAAATTAATTGTGAAAAGTAAGAGTGAAAGAAAGTGATGTACATGAAAAGAAATTCATTTTTTTTTTTTCCGTATTTTTTGTCGAATATTATTTTTTCTAAAAAGTTAGATGGTTATGGAAAATAATTTTATCTCAAAATTCTCTTTTTAGTACTTACCAAAAATTTAAATTGCTCAAATTTTTTTAAAAAGATAATTAGGAAATTTATGCATGCAATTGGATAACAACAGGCCCTTCTAACCATTCAAAAAAGCAAAAAAAAAAATTGCCCTTCACATAATATTATGTATGTCAAAGATTAAGAAAATTGGAAATTTATAACTATCTCATCAATCAATATCACATTTTGACTTGGTGTTTTGTTCTGATAATTACAAAGATAAAATCTGATTAACTCATACTTGACATTTATGATGATATAATAATGGTATATATGATCGAACTTTACAACGACAAAAGAAAAATTATACTACTAATAATATTTGTTAAGAAATATAAAAATAAGTACTTTTTCCACCAAGTATGGGTGGACTCTATTCTTTTGTTATAATAATTTTTTAAGCCACACTTTGTTATAATACATATATTAGATTTCATATATGTTTAATGTTTTTCTTATCATGCCTTTTACAACGAGAATTTTACTAAAATTTAATTGAAATTTTTACCAAAATCAAGCATTATTTTATTTTTGTCTCAAACAAACAAAATCCAACACAAATTGGATAAAATGGTCGTTTTACCTGACTTGTATTTATACTTACTAATTTATTTTACTGAAATGAGGATATTATCGTCATTTTAAGTTTCTAGGGAGCTATTTGCACCCAATCAATAGTATAGGGATGTTTTACACTACACATGGATTATTTTGCATTATATCAATAATAGAAAGGAGTTTTTTACACGTTACCCTTAAAAGAAATATACCGAGATCGAAAAACTAGAGAATATATTACTTGAGGAAGCAGTGGAAGTTTAATGTAAATTCATACATAAAACTTTATGATGCATTAAGTATATACTATATATACATCCTTCCATGTGTACAAAGATTGTGGGTATTACCTGATCACAACAGAATATAAGTTTGAGCAACATTATTTCAGATTATACCTGCATGCTGAGCATATTGGAACAGAAAAATAACTTATTACTTACTAGTTCATGTTCAGAGCTAAATGTTTAAAGTTCAATGACAAGTAATTAAGACACACCCTTAATGGTGCGAAATATTTTGGATGTTATAATTGTGTATATTGTTTTCTTTTTTGTTTATAAGTTTGGATTATTTGTAATTCAGGTACCAATTATGAGTATAGAGAATGAAGAAATGGTTCAATTTGGAACTCTGAGAGAAGATACACAAACGGTGCTGACAATAACACTAATTTGTTCGTATTGTGTTTTAAGATCTCGATCTTCCTAGAAGCTGAACTTCTTTACTTGGTTGATTTGGAGACTGCTTTGAGTGCTCAACTAGTTTTGTACTTCATGCTCATAAAGAGTCATTAATTACAATCGTGGCTTGAGTCGGATTGAGGCTCTAGGTACACCGATCGATGGTTCATGACTTGGTCCGATTGAAGCTTTAGGTCCATCGATCGATGGTTCATGGCTTGGTCCGATTGAAGCTCTAGGTCCATCGATCGACAGTTCATGACTTGGTTCGATCGAGACTCTAGGTCCATCGATCGACAATGGCTTGGTCGGATTGATGCTCTAGGTCCATTGATCGACAATTCGTAACTTGGTCAGATCGAGGCTTTAGGTTCATTAATCGACATTTCATGACTTGTTCAGATCGAGACCCTAAGTTTATCGATCAATAATTCGTGACTTGATCGGATCAATGCTCTAAGTTCATCGATCGATAATTCGTAACTTGGTCGGATCGATACTCTAGGTTCATCGATCAAACAATTCACGACTTGATCAGATCGTGCTTATAATTTCTTTAAAAATCTTTATCCTCGTCATATTCAATTTTCTTTTTTTTGGTTAAAAGGGTAAGCTCGTCATATTCAGTTTTGATGATATCTATCATTTGATTTCCTTAGAGATTTCACATCACATAACATTCTCTTGCCTTTAGTAACATAATATTAGTTCAACACAGCAAATTAAGGTCAGACTCAATTAACATAATATTAGTTCTGTTTTTTTTTTTGACACCATAATATTACTTGCATGCCCATTAAATGACACAGATACAACTAATCCGTTGTCGTCCATAATACTAGTTCTTCCATTTCCTGTCGTCGTTATCTTTGTTTCATTATGTTGCCAAAGCATCATTTCACAACTAATCCGTTGTCGTCCAGCGGTTAGGATATCTGGCTTTCACCCAGGAGACCCGGGTTCGATTCCCGGCAACGGAATTTTGTTTTTCGCCTTTTCTCCCCTGCCATTATGTTTAGTCTGGATAATTGAATGCACTAATACATTGACAAGAAAACCAAGGCCACAAGACAAGAGTATCCCAAATCACAACCAAAACTAGTGGAAAAATAAAATCGATTGAGAAGTTGTTTAGTTGGAATCATGAAACAAAAAAGAGACAATGGATATACTTCATTGAAAAAATTAAAATAAAGTTGTAGTGAATATTTAAGTCGACCAAGTGAATTTAAAAAAAAATCAACATTAAATTTAAACTGTTTTAGATTTAGATGCGTGAAATGTTGCCATGTGTCTTTACAATCAAAATTTGTCAAATTAAAAGGGTAAATTTGATCAAATAGGTAGGAATAATAATTTTTTTATTTTTTTGGTGAAAAAGTGTAAATTAATTATTTAATTGTTTGGTTGAAGGTCATCTAAAATGAATAGAGTTATAGTTATTATATTAAAAAATCATGACATTAAAATTTGTAATTATAAGTATTTATTTGGATAATGTTATTTTTGACTACAAGTATATATCGACAAAAAATTGACTTCCACGTGGCAACAAATTATTTGCGCACAATACTCTCTCTTCCTCTGCGCACAACCCCTCTGCAAAACCCTTTCCTCTCTTTCTTCACGTATTTACCGGCGACGGCAGTGGACTGAAACGGCACTACTAAACTATGACGAGGCCGAGGACGAACTGAACTTCGATATCGCCGGATTCGTAACCGGATTCCAACTAGAAACCGGATTCGTGGCTGACATTCCGTCAATCTCTTCTGCTCCCGGTGAATCTCCGTCACCGATTGAAACGGTTGAAACGGCGCAACTAAACTATGACGAGGCCGGCGACGAACTAAACTCCTGTGATATCATCGGATTCCAACCAGAAACTAGCTCGGATCCGTGACTGACATTCCCTCAATCTCTTTCGCTCCCGGTGAATCTCCGTCACCCGCTTCCGAGTAGAGTCTTCACTATTAAGGTTGGGGCATAGTCAATGCACCTGCTCTGGAGAAACTTTCTGACTTATATTTAATATAAGCAATTCTCAGCCGAGTCTCCTTTTTTCAATCCCATCGCGCAATTAGCTTGACATAAAATACCAGAAACTAATACTATAGGGAGGGGTGGGATATAAGCCCGTCCTCTGTCTCGGCGCTTTCAATGACTCTTTTGGGAGTAGGATCTGTTGAAAAAAAAAAAATGAGTAAATTTTATGAGTCGGTTTTTGTGGGTTGTTTTCTAGTCAGGCAGAATAGCAACACTCTATTCTAATAAAGAAGATAAAATTTCTCAAGAAATTTAAGTCGGTTTGTTGCTTAAGGTGTAGGCTGTTAAGTCGGTTTGTGACTTTCACGCTATTAAGTCGGTTTGTGGCTTAATTTTTACGCTCTTAAAGTCGGTTGATGGCCTTCTGAAAGCCTTGTGGGATACAGGCCGATCACTCGTCCCGTTTGAAAGCTGTTTGGGTGTCACTGCCTCCCAAGTGTAAGTACAAAACACAGTTTCAGTATCTCTGCTCTCAGGCTCATTCAAACACGCGAGATTCATTTCGATTCGTTGCTTGAAGATTCATTTCGAAACGCCAAAATGGAAGAGTCTCTGCGAAATCGTAGATACGAAAAGCTTCCATCAATCGAAGAGTTTGCACGGATTGAATCTCAAAACGTCCCCGCTGTAATCAATTCAACGAAATTCCCAAATCGTTTTGTTGTTTTCCTTTTCTTGATTACTCTTGATATTTTTAATCAAAATTTATTTGTTTCTTGTTTCTTATTTATCGTTTGTGTTTTCTTTGGGGAAGGTCTTTACTGGATGCATCAAGAACTGGAAAGCTTTCTCCAATTGGAATCCTTCTAATGGCGGCCTCGACTATCTGCAGGTCTATTCTGGTCTTATATATATAATCGCTCTAGAACGCAAAACTATCTTACTCTCTCTTTATATACATATATATTCTCGTTATCAGAACAAAATAATATCCTCTCTATGTATACATGTATCACACACACACACATATATCTTTTTTCAAGAAAAGGAATCAGAACAAAATAATATAGGAGATAAACTGTAAAAGTGATTTTGTTAATTGAAGGTAGAAATTTAATTTTAGTGATGTTGCAGTAAGTATCATTTTATTTTAGTTTATCTTTTGCTTTATCCTTCTTAATTCATTTCCTATTTCATGTGATTTCATATGGTGGCAACTGCTTTGGTGTGTAGTTCAAGAAAGAAAAAGGAAAAGTAAGAAAATAAAATTGGTGGTGCATTTTGGTTGTCTGCCTGATATTATTTGACATTAAGCTGCAGAGGATTACACAGATAATTACTTCATAGCATAGGTGAAATATTCTAAGTTTGGAATTCATCCATGTTTCTTGGCCTAAATTGTGTTTGCATATCTTTTATATCTCGAATAATTAAATTATGACTCATATAAGGTGTGTGGTTAAAGTTTTGTTGTTTCTAATTTCTATGATTGAAAGAAATAAGCCGAGAAAATCTAGAGAATTATTTGAATAAGTAATGGATGGTTAAACTAAATTCATGCATAAAACTTTATGGATGCATTTAGTATTGTGATATATATGTGTACACATATTGTTGATATTACCTGATCAAAGCAGAAGATAGGTTTGAGAGAGGCGGCATTATCTAGGATTATACCCAGTTCATGTTGAAACAGAAATCACTTTACTTACCAGTTCATGTTTAGATAAATGTTTAAAGTTCAATGACAAGAAAACACGCCCTTAATCATGCCAAATATTTTGGACAGTATAATTTTATGTTTTCTGTTTTTATTTTTATTTCCTGTAAGGGCATTGTTCCCTTACATGTGTACTTCTACAAGAAATGTATGATATGTTTTTCATGCCAGGTGAGCCTCAAACAGAAGCTTTCATTTTTGAAGTTTTTAACTAGTTACTTAATACTGAGATCAATGTGTGCCTGCCTTGAATGCTCAAATGATTTGATAGCTTGCCACTTTGTAAATGCTTCCTTTTGAAAATTCTGGGAGAGTGAATAATTATTTCTACAATTATTGCTCGATGAAATATTGATTTCAGTATTTCACATATTTTACGAGTGGACATTTAGGAACGAGTAGGTTCATCAATCGTGGAAGCTATGCTGTCCAGATCTGCACCTGTCTTCTATGGTGATATTAGAAGCCATGAGAGGGTACTTTTATATATACACTTTGTTCTATTGATAGAGTTCCGAATTGCTTCTTACCATGTTTGGCATCTACCCTAATAATTCTATGTCTAATTCTTTGTATAGGTTCCATTGCCATTTTCTACGTTTATTGGTCATTGTAAGGAACACTTCCAAAACACAGAAGGGGGTCATGGCCTTCCTTTTGAATCCGAAAGCGATGCACTGGCAGGGTGTGAAACAAATCAAGGTCATCTGCACATTGGAGATGGTCCTCAACAAATTTATCTAGCACAGGTGGTAATTTGGTTGATTTATGAAAATGATTTCTTTGATTTTGTTTGATCATGCAAGTAGATGCATTAAATTGTTTTGCCTTCTGTATTGAAGTAACATTGTGTCAGTACGGATGCACTCTATCTAGTTAATTACTTTTAGGGGTGCCTTACTACAAATTTGGGTTAAGTTTTGATTATTTGTAATTCAGGTACCAATTATGAGTATTGAGAATGAAGAAATGGTTCAATTGGGAACTCTGAGAGAAGATACCCAAACGGTCTGTATATTTATGTAGTGTTTAGTGTTTAGTGTTTTTGTTTCTTATTTTCATCCACAATGAGTTTTTATCTGACAAAAGTTCAATTCTCCAATTATCTTGGATTAAGTTGCGCAGCCTGCATTTTTGGAGGCAAAAGATCTGGCTTCTATTAATTTGTGGATGAACAATGGTCAGACTAGATCAAGCACCCACTATGATCCACACCATAACATTTTATGTATAGTTTCTGGCCGCAAACAAGGTTTGTCACCATTTGGGTTTAGATCTTCCCCCTGCATTATTAAAGTACCCTATACATGATTGTTATTGATTAGACATGTCTATGTTTCTTTTTGTTTTGCTTAGCCCTTCTTCCCTTTCACTGGGCTGTGCTCTTATATTTCCTTATATAAAAATGGAATGGATTAATAATTGGTTCATATGGCCTGGTGATAATTTCATCTTGCTTGTGTAGTTTATTTTGGAAATTAGGATTTGACATTATACGAGTGCAAAGAGGGATTTGTTAACAAAACAGATTTGATCTCTGGGCATTAGTCTAATTTGTTACCTGCAAAATAAATAACTACATTAAAATAAAATACAATGGTTCTCTGTTTGCTTTTAGATGGCATTAGAATACTCAGTGTACATGCTCAAGCAGCCACAAATTTCATTAAGCGCAACTATGTTAATATCAACAAGAATTTAAATATGTTTATTAGCATTTTTATGACATTGAATTACTACACTGATGTCACTAAAAAAAATAAAAATTACTACACTGATATCGTTGTTAGAACTCTCTGATCAATTGATTGAACATAAAGTGTGTGTGTGTGTTGCAAATGCTTAGGATCACTGAGAAGAGAAACAGGGGGGGGGGGGGGGGGGGGGGGGTGGTGTTCTTCTTTGGGGGCCTTTTCAATGCAGAGGAGGCAAGTCAGAATCTGGAATATATCTAGATGGTTTTCAGATTTATGGTCAGATGTTGGAAATAAGGCTTATAAGTGCCTTCGCAGCTGGTCAAATGGCTATAAGTCTAATTTGTTTTAATTGTGTTTTAGGATCTATTTCATCTTTATCTCTCACAAAAACATGAAAGCTGAACTTCTTTACTTGGTCGATCTAATATGTCATTTATTCTCATTGTAATTAGAGACTGCCTCAAGTGCTCAACTACTTTTGTATTTCATGCTCATAAAGGGTCATTACCTAGTATGGTCCTTATTAATATCGAGTGTTGGGAGGAGTGGACTGGATATCGATCTAAGGTTTTGCCCAAAGCAGCTGCGCTCAGGTTTTTAACTGCGTTCTTATGCTTGTGAACCCCAACATTTTACCCTTGGAGGCTTGGACCAAGCAAATGACCCCTGAATGTTATCATGTATTACAATTTTGTAATTGAAATATATGTTATCTAGACATCTATGGTCAACTTTCTGCTAATTAACAATCGTGGGTAACATTAATAACTAATAGCATTGTTGAGTATGTTATTTTCAACAATAGTAAGTTATTTTTTAACATCACACATGCTAAAAAGAAAATGCCACATATGTTTTTGAGAGAATTATGTGTCTTATGCCCAGTAGCTTTACTTAATATATATAGATATATAATATTCATTAAACTAAATTATTGAGAATACAAGTTGGTGAGATTGACAAATTAATCTATGTATTTGGTTGGTTAAAGGGTTAGTTGTTCGACACAGGGAGGAAAAAAAAAACTATGACGTTTTCTTTCATGTGAATGTTTATATCAATATGAACATTTCCATTCCAATAATTAAAAAAGCGATAGATTTTTCAAGCCATTGTATCACATGTTAATGATTAAGTGTTCTATATCATTGTTGTCAGTTGCCAGGACTATAATGTGTTTTCAAACCATTGTATCAAACTAATCCCCTCCCCATCTTTCTCTTTCACTGTGATTTTCAGTTGTTTTATGGCCACCTTCTGCAAGTTCCTTCTTGTATCCAATGCCTTTATATGGGGAGGCTTCAAACCATAGGTATGCTAATTTTTATATTTGTTGTACAAAGTAAAATCTGGTTTCTTTTCTACCACTGGAGAAGATAGCGTTATATGAGGTTCAGGGAGATTTTCAGTGTGCTAATATCATCAAGTTCTGTTTCTTAGATTCTTGTTTATTCTTCTGCAGTTCTGTCGCTTTAGAAAACCCTGATTTTTCTATCCATCCAAGAGCAGAACGATCAATGGAGTACTCCCAGAAGGTTATTCTTTGTGCAGGTGATGCACTCTTCATTCCTGAAGGCTGGTAAGACTAAAAAAATTGTGTTCCAAATGACTTGGAGAGTATATTATTATTATTATTTTTCATTTCATCTTTTAAGGTCTCATTAGGTTTATAACATAATGCCACTCATTTTGAAATAACACACCTAACTTAAAGTTTTATTTTGACTGTTCATCACCTGCTCTTATATTAATTGCTATTTCAATTTTCACCTGTGTACATAAGTTAATGAGATAATCTTTTTTTTTTTTTTTTTTTCATCTTCTTTGTTATAGTTGAGGATATCTTTTGCATCTTGCGTACTTCTGGTGAAAAAATATTGATTACAAAGCAGACATGGACTTCTAATACAAATAAATAAATAAATAAAGTAGAAAATGAAATATCTATTGTTAGTGTAAGGATTTAAATATAATCGTCTCATCGTCAATATGCTTGAGTTGAAATTAATCTTGAAAATCATTTAAATAGTTCTGTAGTTCATTTAAATAATAATATATCAACCAGGCTAAATAAACAAATATGTTCTTGATAACATTGACAGCGAACTGGTTAGTAGTCTTTTATGAATCTCAGGAGAGAGGGGGAGCTCCAAAACTCAAAGAATGTGACTGTAATTTTTATTTCTTATTGGTATCCACAGCATTTCAGTTTATACTGTTGTTTTTTAGGAGAAAATAGTTTCTGGGAATCTGTCACGTCATCGCTCAAAGTAAATTTTCCTTGATCATAATACGGTGCAATAATAGAAATTCTTGTACAACTCTGTGATGTAGTGGGCTTGTGCATGATCTATTATTGAATTTATTGTGAACAACAGTAGCATTCCTAGTCGGGTATACAACATGTGTGCTGTGTTGACAAATGTCTTGTCCACAAGGAAAGGCCTTTATCTAGTGTTGCATCTTTTCAAACTGAGAATTATTTTTTAATTTTTTTAGTCAGTAGATCTGTACTTCCATAGTTTATTCATGAAGAACAAAACATATTGTGATGAAGTTATTTGGTTGAGACTATATAGCTAAAATATTCATTTTGTCTGATATTTGATTTGTCCACTGAATGCTTTCACCGAAAACCATGAATTTGTTCCAGGGCAAGCACAGGATGCAGCCTTAAGAATATTAGAACACTTGAGATAGACCACTTAGATTGCAAATGTCTCTTATGTGCTTGTTTGGTGTTGTAATGAATGAAGGTAGTCCAGTGACAATTGCTGCATCATTTGTCTTCTAAACATACATGGTTTATAATTTCATCTATCACCATTGGTTGGAATCTTAGTGTTGTAGCCTGGCAATTTCTTTCATTATTATCTTTTATGCCTTAAGGTTATAATATAGTAACATGTGATAATACTTCTTCATCACGACCTTCACTTTTCTAGTTGTTCCTGCTATATCACCAGGCTTAGTAAATTTTTGTAAATATTATTGTTCTTAATTGTTACTACAGGTTCCACCAAGTGGATAGTGATGATTTGACCATTGCTGTTAACTTCTGGTGGCGGTCTAACATGATGTCTGGAATGTCAGAACACATGGATGCTTATTATTTGCGCAGAATATTGAGAAGGTATTCATGGTTCATTATCTTTCAAAATATTCTGTTCTTCTTTCTGTTTGTGCAAGCATTATTAAACAAACTAATTGTTTCCTTTTCTACTTCCTCTCCATGTTCTGTTCGTTCATCAAATTGTTTAAAAACAAAGATTGATCGATAAAGAGATGGTACGTCATTTCGCTCTTAGTCTTTCATTTATTACAAATAAAGCTGATAATGTTGGGTAGAAATGGATACATTTTAGTATTTTAACAAATATTAACATAATATTTTTTTTGTGTATGGAAAACTTCAGCTCACCTCAACCGCTCTTTCATTCATGATTTTTGTCAATACATTTTGCACGTTGTACCCTTTTAAGATTGCAACATTGGTGTGCAGCCTCACTTTAAAAGAAGGAAGAGGTGGGGGGGGGGGGGGGGGAATATTTGTCAAATCATTGTCAAAATTTCCTGACATATTATCATGAATTTCCTAGAATTCCGATTTACTGCCTTTTGAGGTTTCTTAATTGGATTTGCAAACTCTTCTGCTCCTGTGTGGCACTCTGATGGCCGTGGAAAAATACCAAGTTTTCACTGATTATATTGGTTGAATGGTTGAGAAGTCGTTTTAGATGGATAGTGTTCCAAAACTTGAGGAAACTGGGCAATTTCCAGATGTCATTTCATAAATCATTGTCAAAATTTCCTGACATATTATCATGAATTTCCTAGAATTCCGATTTACTGCCTTTTGAGGTTTCTTAATTGGATTTGCAAACACTTCTGCTCCTGTGTGGCACTCTGATGGCTGTGGAAAAATACCAAGTTTTCACTGATTATATTGGTTGAATGGTTGAGAAGTCGTTTTAGATGGATAGTGTTCCAAAACTTGAGGAAACTGGGCAATTTCCAGATGTCATTTCATAAATCTGTGTGTACTAAAAATAGTTTTGAACTTTTTTTTGGTGATATGACATTTTATCCTGACTACTGACTTTTTGCATTTGCAAACTTGCACACTGGAGTAAAATAGTTAAGACTTAATACATTTAAACATGAGCCAGTGATGAATTAATGTCAGAATTCATACTTAATATTGATTTGTTATCCACTTAAAAATATGGAGTAAATGTTCTATATATTTCTTTTTTCCTATCCTGAAGTTTGAATTTAAGCACTATGAGGCATAATTTTATTTATGAATCAGGACAGAACCACATGCTGCCTGAGACTACTATTCGTTTTGGGAAATTGGAAAAGCATGCATTAGAGCAGCCCAGCAATGGAAAAACAGGTCCATCTTTTTCTCATCACATGTTTCTATTTACTAATTTATTTGTGTGGTGGGGGATCTGAGAGTATATATATATATGCATCATCTTATCTTTTACAGTTACAGTGGGGACGAAAGAAAACATGTTGCTTGTCATCTTAATAGATGCTTTTTTTTTTTTTTTTTTTTTTGGGTTTACTCCAATGATTTGTTTTTTCCCAGATCATGGGCATAATTTTGATCAGAACTGTAGTAGTGATGGTCCAGATGGGTGTAAGCTAAAGCAGAGAATCATGTTAAATGAAATGGAACCTCTTGCACTTCAGGCTCTCCATCAACTTGTTGCTGCAGTCCATGAACATGTTGATATTGCTGATCAAAGTCGAGCGGTCGATTCTAATGAATTAGTAGTTGGAGGTGCAGGTCAGAACAGGCAAAATATAAAAGAGAATTTATTGCACTTGGAAGATGATCCGGTTGCTAACATCCTTTGGACCCTCAGGCCACTTACCCTTCAGAATGTTTTTCTTGCCATGGTGGTGAGTTTGTACTCTCCCTTGAAAGACTACCTTTGATTTTTTTTTCGATCACTAGGTTGATTTTTTTATAGACTTCAAAGCGTGTTTCTGTGATAATATTTTTCATATTATAAATCGGTTCTCAAGGACCTAAATGCTTTTTTATTGAAAAAAAAAAATGCCTCTTGTGAATAGACATAATTGCCCTGATAAAAATTCCATTCAGACCATTTATCTAATTTGCCTCTCATTTTTGTAAATATCCATTGTTTGAAAAAAATAGAAGACCCCAGATAAATTTTTGTCTCTGTCTGTCAGTTATAAGCCAGTTTTTTTATTGTTTTTGCTTTTGTTTGTCCTTTTGCTCCCATTTTTCATTGGAGAACTCTTTATTTACTTTTAAATGCTGGATCATTTAGAAGGTTTGCAATTATGAACCGTAGGTGCCGAAGCTGTTCTAGTCATTCATATATTCTTGTTGATAAACTCGTCCTATTGTCAGCCACTTGATGATGATAATCTTTCCTTTTCTTCTTCAAGTATGTTGAATTATTATTCTCTTTTTCAGCACAACTTCCCGAGAACTTTGGAGGCTTTAATATCGCACTTGCTTTCACCAGTGGGGGCAGAAGTTCTTACGCGGAAATTTGAGGAGATGGATCAACTTACTGATGAACAAGATAGGTATATGTTAATTTCAAGCAGAGTAGTCGTTTGATTTTGTGTTCAGAAGAGAATGCAGGATGTTATATTTGGATCCTCTTTGTTATCTTGGTTTCAGGAATGAATTTTACCAGGCCTTTTATGGTGTGTTTGATGACCAATTTACTGCAATGGATGCAATTTTGAATCGGAAAGAGTCATTTGCGCTTCAGGTAATGGTTCACTCGTGTTAAAAATGCTTCTGAGACTTAAGAAACCACATATCTGATTATCACTAAGGTGCATGACACATATGAGCAACCCATTGCTTTTCAATAATATTTTTCTTAAACTCCTCAACATGGCATTTTATATTGTAGTGTACACTCAGCAATGATGAGCCTATCAGAACTGCAAAAACCAATAAAGACATGGTCTTATTCATTGATCATGTTCTTCCCTAGGTTTTCTCAACCATGATTGGCCCCTCATTGCAAACTTTATGGTCGTATTCAGTTTTGAATATGGTGCTATCAAAATCTTTTGTCTCAGTGGTATCTCATTTGATGATGTCATCATTTGATTTCCTTCGAGATCTCACACCACATGACAGGCTTGCCTTAAGGAACATAATATTAGTTCAACACGGCATATTAGAGTCAACATAAGGTGATAAATTAGAACATGATGGCAGACAATGGTTCACATAGATTACCCAGTGCAAGGAACACCTTAGGGCAGGGAATGGGCGGTCGGTTAGTTTAGGTTGTTTGAAGTGATAAGAGCTGTGTAAGGAACAATGGACAAAGGAAAGGGCTCAATACCTTGTTCTTATGACAGATGCTTCCATAAACATGTAAATTGTACCTTCTTCCCCCCCCCCCCCCCCCCCCCACTTATTGGCTTACACAAATTCTGATTTAATCGGATCTTCTGCATAAATTTATGATCCTGTTCGACTTCCAAAATAATATTATTATGTTTTACTTTTTGTTCTCAGATAAGCACTCTCTTCTAACTTCCCTTTCATATGTCCTTTATCTTTTCTTTTTTTTTGCTTTTTGACTTTTTAATCCTATTATGGCAATTCCTTTGGCATTGGATGCACATATGTTGTTATCCAGACTTGCGTCCATATGTCGACGCCTGTTTACATAGTTCAGCACCAGTGAAAATGTATGCAAGTTTTCCAAAGCTTGTCCATGAATGAATATCTTCATTAAGTTGCCAATTTAAGAGAACTCATTTTGTTGCCCAGGATAAAGAAAAATTTATGTGAACTGTTACACATCCTTTTGTTACATAGGAACAGATTTTGATTTGCAGTATACCTGTTACAGGCGTTCAAAAATGTGTTGGATCAGTATTTGGGAATTAATATTGATGGGCCTAGACCGTCACTTAGATGAGACATTGATTGACATAGACTTCTCCAAAGTTGTTGGTCCCCCAGTAGCTTCAGAGTGCGAATCAGTTCAGATTCACAGCAGACCCTTTTTCCTGATTGGTATTCATACATGTGTCTTTCACTGTCTTGTTAACTTTTAAAATTGCTTTTATTTGTTCAGGCTACGTCATCATGATTTTTGTATGCCGTTAATGTATGGTTTAAAATTAGTAGTATTTGTCAATTTGTTCATGCTTGTATAAGTTGTGTGCTGTACAACTTGCTGATCCACAGAACAAGAATTTACGTAAATCAGGCTGTATTTTCTACTTGCATGGTAAGAGGGAGAGGTTTACGTCTTTTGGATGTGAATAATATATATTCAGATTTTTATTTACTTGTCGAGTTGTGACTGGCCGAGACCATGTTATCCCGTACCAAGCCATGTAATATAATATCTCGTCTCACAAGCTAGCTATCTATCGATGGGCATGGTACTCAAAATAGGTTTATGGGTTGCTTGGGGATTTGCTTGCAGCAGAAGGGAAAAGAGAAAGAAACATTGTAAAGAAGGGTTCAGTAATTATTGGTACTGGAAGGAATATGGAAAGAAGAAAAGGTAGATTTGGGGAGATGAGATTCCCTGATTAAAGATTACATATCCAAGATTCCAAGTCTGTTAGAGAGAGGAAGGGAAAGGAATGGAAGAGGGGCTTTTTGTTTGTCTGGTTGTGTAAATAAAAAGCAGCAGTCTCTTTTAGGAGGCAAATGATATGTAAGAGTACCACCACAACCCTGCCACTTATACTTCTTTCTAAAAGATTGGATATACCATAACACACACCATTCCCTCCTTTCATTAATCCCTAGGTTCTGTAAAAGATTGGATATACCATAACACACACCATTCCCTCCTTTCATTAATCCCTAGGTTCTGTGTCTCACACTCTGATGTTGAGTATACTTTTTCCAAGACTGCATAGTTGAAATATAGTATAGTGTATGGAATGGAGTATTACTTATCTTATTATGTACAGTAGTAGTAGAAATCAAGGCCGTATTTGTCAAGAAAATATAGCGGAGGGGTTGGTGCAAGGAAAGTCATTTCTCCCCCTTTTATTAAGTCGTCATGAAAAATAGGGTCAAAAAAAAAAAATTTGAGAAAAAGTAGGAGATAATTTTATTTTTCTTATTTAGTTTTTCATTTTAATTAAGCAGAAGAGGAAATAAAAATTTTGTTTGGTTTTATTTTCTCTTAGGGAATATGAAAATAGGCTACTTTTTAGAAATTTGTTTAATTTTTTTTTTTTTGTTGAAATTGCTCTGGTTAGAAAATGAACTTCGCCAAATGGGCAATAGCCAAGCATTTGGTATAAACCCACCTTTTCAAGTCTCAGTGAAATTATGGATGTGTAAATTTGTTCAACATTTTCAAAAAAAAAAAATTTGAACTTCCATATTTATTTGAAAATTTTCTATATTCAAGGAGAATATGTATCATTGGGATGAGCATTCTTATCACATTAATGCTGAGTATTAAATTCCTTAATCCATGTCATTTTAATGGTGAACCTTGACGATTATTTGGTGGATTAAATTAGGTGGGCCATGTCAGGTATGAGAAGGTTGTGATAGTTTTGCACTTGAGCTCCATTCTAACCAAAGGCTGTAGAATGCACAAAATTTGAGAAGTAATCAAGAAAAGAAGACCTAGGACTAGGATTTATTATCCTTCAAACTTTCATTGAGCATCTTTTGCATTACCGTTGACATTTTCCCTTGTTTATTTTCTTATCCTCTCCTCTTTCTCTTTGTTTTTCTTTTCTTTTTTCTTTTTGATCTAGTATCACCAAGTCCAGGACCACCACTACACTTGCACAAACTCACACACACACATAAACACCCCTTAGTCACCTTTATCCTCACGCTTACAACAGGTTTTACAGCATCTCTACTCTTCGGAAAAGGTTACGTCTTTGAATTCCTCTAAAAAAAATACATTTCCTTAGTGTCCCAAAAGAGTGATGAGAAAAATAATTTATTGGGACTGATTACACTTTAATCTTAAATTGGGATATAAAAAGCTAGTGGAAAATTCAATATAATTAGCCTACTTAACAAATGAATATTAATGATGTCCTATTTAAATACAATTTAGGGGTGTTTTTGAGTTGGCCGAGTATTTACTTAACAAAAAAAGAAAAAAAGAAAAGAAAAGAAAAAGCAATATATATGTTTTCATTTTGGATTGCACATGATATCATCTTAAAGTTTAATAGGTAATTTTTATTTTTTATTTTTTCCCGTGTTCTTTACCTGTGAAAAATGAAAATGAAATGACATATTGTCATGCAATTATTTGAAAAAGTATTTATAAACAGCACCTTTGAAGGCTAGTTCTGTAATTTCAAGTACTGAAAAAGAGTGCAAGTGAAAAAAAAGGTTGAAGCGTGAATTGAATAATTAATACCCCGTGTAAGATCCAGAATTTGAAGCTTATTGGTATTGTTCAGAACAAACACATGCAAATTTGGATTAGTATTTTGTTTCCGAAGGGTCTAAATTTGGTCGACTAGGTTGGATTGAAGGGCACGTTTGTCAATCTTGAAAAGTACAAAGGTATGCCTCTCCACCGACATTGGTCACCTCATTATAGCTTTTGCTTCGTTGTCACTCCTCGAATATACTTTTCTTTTCATTTTGTCATTTCCTCCAAGTGTGTAGACAGCTCACAAATGAAGCAGACACGTTAACGGATTTGAAATCATTTTGAATCCTTATTCAGGAGTCAAAGTCATTATATTTTAAAAATATAAAATTGACTAAAATAGTGATATGAACATAAATAAAAAAAATACTCTTTTCTTTTTTGTTTTTTTCACCTGACAATGATTAATTGGGTTAGGAGTTAAATGGGGAAGGGGAGGAGTTAGGAGTTAATGGCATGGATGGCTCCAACACTCGCAATCTTGCCCACACCTGGGGTACAAGGCACATTTCATAAAAAATAACTTTAAATTTACATTTTTTTTGTGCATTGATACCTTTGCCTACTTTGAGCGATTTTTACATGTACTAAAGTAGTATTTTTGTGCACTTGTACTTGTAAACGGTAAGATAGTTTTGGCAAATGAACAGTATTTTTCATGTTTATGTTGATCAACTCTATGTTTTATTTTTTATTTTTTTTTCATAACTCTACTTTTTCAGAAAATCATAAAATGGTAAATAAAGATTCAAAACTCTTAATAATCCCATGAAGTTCATGCTAAAAATAAAGTATCATTCAAGTAATATAATGGTCTACTATTTTTTCTTATTTGTCCTTCAAATGCTGCGCTTTTGGAGTGGATCCTGTGCAATACAGGCATTGTATTACATTGAATGGCCCACAAGTGATGCTTGTGGACCGTTGATCCGCCCACAATCAGAGAATCTAAATTCTTGTTCCTGGTTGATCATTTGATAAATAATTTTTTTTTTATAACAAAAATAACTCTTTTCTTAAAAAATTATGTGCTAAAATCAATAAAGAATATATATATATTTTCTTTTCAATTCATTCCTGAAGATAGACTACCTCATTCAAGAATTGTTTCTAATCCAATTCCTTATTAGTTTTGTTTTATTAATAAACTCAAAAAATACAAGCATCACTCAATTAATAATGTCAAAGAAAAGTGAGGGTAAAAAAAGACAGGAAAGGAAAACAATGGCTTTGATATCATTAGTATTCTGACCAATAAGTGAATTATGCACGTCTATTCCAAACTAACAAGGAAACCCTAAGGGCCACCATGCACAGCGTCACACTATCACTAGCGTGAATAGTACAAAGTCAGTTATATACTATCTAATTATTTAAGCAATTTTTTAAAAAATAAGACAAGGTCACCAAACAAATCACTAATACACAGTTACATACACGAACATACATACATATATATACATATATATAAACAAATCACTAATACACAGTTACATACACGAACATGTATATATATATATATATGTGTGTGTGTGTGTGTATATATATGTATGTATGGACTCATGGAGAGAGAGGGGGAGGGGCAAAGGGAGGAAAACATAATCCATGTTTTGCATGACATTTTTCCCACTAAAAGAACTGCCACCATCCTCCTCGATCAACTGATTGCATGGTTTGTCAAAATTAACTAGAGAAACATGTAAATACGAATTTTTAAACAAAAAGAAACATATAATGCTGCAAATCCCAATAAAACCCTTCTAGTTAATAAGCATTTTAATTTAAGAAACAAGAAGGAAAAACAGAAATGCTATGGCAAAAGTCTCTCTCTCTCTCTCTCTCTCTGGATTTGGGTTGTCTCTGTCTGCACGGATTACACACTTAACAATTCCCCCAGGTCTCCGAGGCAGCCTCAGCAAAACCAAAGCCTTGCGGCTTCAACAGTGAGTGGTCATTGTCAGGGTCATATGCTGGGAACTCTACGCCTCCTGTGAATGATAGCATATTCCTCAGGTTCAGGTTAGCATTAGCATTGGCATCAATAGTATTTCCATTACCAACTCCACCACTTCCACCACTCTCAGCTGTCAAACCCAGAAAGTCCCTGGTCAGGCGATCAGTCTTTTGCCACGTGGCAAGATCTCCAGACGTGTAGCCCAGGTACTCCGGCGCCATTCCGGTGCCGCCCATGTGGCCCAACGGATGAGTCATTGTGGATGCCACGTGGCCAACTGTGGCAGCCTTTTGGAGGAGTGCAGTGGCTGAGAGGTGAGCTGAGGTGGCAGCGTTTGAGGTGGGTGGTTGTGTAGTGGCATTGAGGTTTTGGAAGGATATCTGAAGGGGCTTAGTAGATTGTTGGAGAAATGGTGAAGACATGGGTATTGGTGGTGGTGGGATAGAGAGGTGGATGAATTCAGGCTTGATATGAAGTGGATTAGGATTAGGGTTAGGGTTAGGGTTAGGGTTTTGAGGTGGGTGGTCCCAAGAGGTGAGGGAGATGTGCATTTGTGGGTTTGGGAAGTGTTGTTGGGTTGAGAAAGGAAAGAGAGGTGGGTTTTGTAGCTGTAGATTGAAGGGTTGGGCAGTTGGGTTTGCAGCTGATGAGACTAGTACATGTCTTGCACTTTCTTCAGCTAGAGCATCACAGAATGCTCTGTGGGTGATAAAGCTATCCTTCCTGATTATAATAATATTTTTACATGCCAATACAGAAATAGTAGTAATCAGTTACGTCCAAATAATAATAATAATAAGCAAATATATATATGTGCGATGACTAATCGATGAGGGAATGACTTAAGCATGGGAGTGTTTTTGGGATACTACAAAAAATGTTTTATTTACTGTTTGTCTGCGGACAAGGAGAAATTATTAGATAGTTTGAAATTATGTGATTTAGATCAACATGTAACATGGACCCTGAATCCTTTGATTAAATATATTTTTGAACACATTAAATCTATCTATTTCAACTAAATTTAATATGTTGAAAACTGAAATAAATGTGTTGAAAAACATAATTACGACAGAGGATTCATACGCTATAAGATGATCTGAGCAAAGCAAAATGCAATTATAAAACAAGCTATATAATAATCAATTTTAATATATTATTGTACTCTATATAAACTCAAAATGGTATATATATCGTGTATAAATGTGTTTGTTATTTTCCCTTGTGTGATTAAAAGAAAAGAGCCGAGGCTTGCGTAATGGATAGAGACAGTGAAGTGATAAAGCTGCACATTACGATAGTATTACACAAAGCAGGAATTCCCTTTTTTGGGTCAAAATTAAAGTATAATGATAAAGGGAAGTGGGGGATATGCATGACGGTCGATTGATGTTTATGCATGCAAAAGTGGGCATAGAAGAATATACATATACAGATACATACACATATTCATACACATATATACTTGCCTCAAAATTCAAAATTCAAGATATTGGAAACCTAGATAGATGATTCCCCAACAATTCTTTGAAATTAGAGTGAAGTAAACATATATGTATATGCAATTGAAACCCAATAAAAAGAAACGACTCATTACCGTATCAGATATTTTTGCAGATATTATCAGTATTCATCATGATGAATTGTTCAGAGTTTCAGACAAGTCTGCAAGTAAATAATGGCATGCATGCTCGGTGATCAAAGAACCATATATCACGGATATATATATATATATATATATATATATCACTCAACCATGGACACCCAAAAAGAGTAGTAATTAAGCTTCTCTCTTACCTTTTCCTTAGACACAAGACCAGAAATTCATCATTGTTTTTAGACTGCAATAAGTCCATTACAATCATGCAAGTACTTAAAGTGAAAAAAGAAGAGAACCCTTGCAGCAAATTATGTTTGCCTATTTCGATGCTGATCGATATACCATTGGAACTGATGATACTTATCATGCTTCTCAGTTCTCATGGACATGGACAACTCCTGATCCTCTTAATTTTAAGGTTTTTTTTTATTTATTTATTTTTTTCATCAAAACTAGTTACTATCTTGATACGAATGTAACATATTACTTTCAAAATATGTGACATTACTTTCAATTCAATTTTAAATTTTAAAAAAAAAAAAAAATTAAAAAACGCATTAAGTTGATAATGCAATATTACTCGGTACATCTAGAATGTAATTAATAATAATGCTACTAACGTGACACCCATTATTTCAAGTGTTACATTCTCAAAAGTGACATTTTCTTTTTCCATTGCTATCCCTATCCCTCCAGACCTCCTAACATTCCATTGAAATCCAACCCATTCGTTTTTTCATTTAGAGAACACACAACACAAAATATATAGATGGTTATTCTATTTTCATAATAGAATGATTATTTAATCCTTTTTTCTTCTTTGAATCCTAGCTAATTCAATTAAATACTTTTCAAGTTCTCCTAATCTATAATTTTAATTATATCGGAACAGTTACCTGTGTTAAAGTAGTATCTAATCTATCTTTTAAAGTGAAATTTTGAGGATTTAAGTTGCAAAGTGAGTGTATGAGTTACTCTCAGCGAAAAGGTTGAGAGTTAAAGAGAGAGAGAGAGAAAAAAAAAATAAAAAAAAAAATTGCATTTAGAGTAAGGATGTGATAAAGGGCAGGTATAGTAATCGAATGAGACAAACGGAAAAATATACTATCCTACTTTTATTTTTTATTTTTATTTATTTTTGCTTTATTCTGAAAATATGAATCGAAATTTGCAGATTCAAATTAAGTTCAGAGCTTTTGCTTTCAGTTTCATTATTAACAATGTCATCTGTAACAGACACTTCTATTAATGGTGTTCGTTTCCATGCAATGCATTTAAGCTACAGATATATTCCATCCGAAGCTTATATACTACAGTGATGTAAGAACAACCACAAAACAAAGCTTACTCAAACAAAACAAAGACCCTCCTGACTCCTCATAAGGACACAAGACTTCCCATTTTAAACAAAAGACCAAAATTAGAGTCCAAAGTGATAAATAACAAAACCAGAACTAATAAAAGAAAATATAATTAGAGGACATTTGAGACAAAAAGACAGATATACAGACCCCAAGAAAAATATATACTAGTAGTAATTAATTTTTAAGAAAAGAAAATTTAAAGATATATGTAGCTAGTAGTTACATACATACCTGGAGAAAAGGGTTCCACAGTCACATCTATACTCTCTTGTTCCACAGGTTTTAGAGTGAGCCTTCCAATCTGATTGAACAGCATAGATCTTAGAACATTTCTCACACTTCCATTTCTTTTCCCCATGTTTTCTGCAGAAGTGTTTCTTGATTCCTGTAAGATCACCAAGAGCCCTTGAAGGGTGGTGGTGAATGCAAGTGGGCTCAGGGCAAACATAGACTCTCTTTCTGTTCTCTTTGCTGTTTCTTTGCTTCAGCTTCCATGGAAGATTGTGGCCTCTCCTGTGAAGCTGAAGGTTCTGATCTCTCTGAAACCCCTTGTTGCAGATCTCACACACAAATCTGTTGGTTGCCAAGAGGGTCTTAGGGGACAGCGCAATTACTTCAGCATCTGGATCTGCATATCGATCATTATTAAATAAAAATTAATCTGTATCTGGGACCGGAGTTTGCAAAGTGACCAACTGGTGGGTTGATTCTTCGTTAATTACCAGAAAGAAAAATAAACATGAAATTAAAATCTAAAGGAAATTTGAAGATATATAGATGAATCTGACCTGGGTTTCCGGGGAGGTTTCTCTTCTTCTTGATCTTCTGTGGCTGCTCCTGTGTAGAAGAAATGGTTGAAAGCATTGGATTTAAACTGGTACCAAAGTCTTGAACTCTGGTACCAGAAGAAACAGTACTAGCTGCTTCCTCAGTTGACAAAGAAGTTGTTGAGTTAGACATAACAGTAGCAGAAAACATTGTCTGTAAAGAAGACTCCAACAAAACAAATACAAAACAAAACAAAACCCAACCCACTACTACTCTGATCTCTCTCTCTTTTTTATATATATTAATTTGGTTTGATTTCTTGGATAAGCAAGCCAAGTCAAGCCCTACTAGACTTGTAACAACCCACTTTGGATCCTCTGAAGAAAAAAACACGGAAATTAATTAAGGGAGAATCATACAACTAAGCCAGACTAAAGCCAGTCCTAAGTTGATGAACATGTGGCAGTGACATGTAGACACAGATAAGGCATAATTCAATGAGTGGTAAAAGCAAATTAATCTCGTGAAGGCTGGCTAGGAATCATATATATATATATATATATATATATATATATATACGATGGGTGATTAATCATCACAAAGTCGCTATCTAACCATGAAAATGTTGCTTTGCTTGTCTGAGCAACTCTGTAACACAATTCATATATATCTTTCCAATCTCTCTTGAATCCATCAAACACACCATGCAATATTTCAATATATATATATATATATATATATGGAAAGAACAGACAGACAATAATAAGATGGTTTTGTTTTCTCTTCAAACCTTCCCACTACCCAATAACCCTCTCCTTTTGTAGCTATCAATATATCTATATATGTGATTAAAAAAAAGAGAGACAGTGGATACAAAGAAAAAATATCAGTAGGTGGAGATGATAGTACAGAAGGTGATGATTATAGTGGCAGACCAAAGAGGAACGGGGTGGCAAATTACAGTATATATGTGAATAATAAAAGTAAAAGAAATTCAGGTTCGGAAAAGGCAAGAAACCCCAGGAAAAGCTAAGATTAATTGTGTGTGTGTGTGAGAGAGAGAGAGAGATAGGTGGATGAGGCCAAGGCAAGCAAAGACCAGGAAGAATCGCAGCCCAACTCTTCTCATGATTCATCATTTTTTTCTCTTTAATTTTTTAATATTTTCTTTGAATATGACGTTGGCACTTTCTGTCTTTTCCTTTGCTCCTGTTATAAAACACCCAAATCCTAAAAGTACCTTCATTTGAATGGAATGGAATGATATTAAAAGGAGTGATTGTAATAAGAAGGCTTAGAGAATGAGATGCTTAAAAAGTTTGGGAGGTGATAAAGCCTAGAGATGAGGTCTTCCCACCTTTTCTAAATCTCTCATACAACATAATTGATTCGTGAATAATGTAATCTTTACTAGTTTCTAATCCCATCACTTTGTATCCCTCTCAATGAAAAAGGGAAAAAGGAAGAAAAAAAAATATTGGCCAATTAATTTCTAAAGGGTGCCTTTTGAATTTATTTTACTTAATTTTTAAAAAGATTTTTTTTCTTTTTAAATTATTCATCAAGCCTTCCACTTTCTTTTTTATGTTGTTCATCTTATTAGACTCTATTTAGATGGACGAAATTGAATAAATAGGATTTTGACTAATTTCAACTAAAAATTAAATAAATTGATATTATGATAGGTTTATGTGTGAGTAAATGGGTATTAGAATAGTTAAAGAATTCGAAATCCCTACATTTGATATTCATGTATTCAAACAGAAATCAATGAATTCCATATTTTCATGAGGATTTCCAACCCTTTCTGTCTCTCTTTTTTCTGTAATTATTCTCATAGCCTAGTGTGCAGTGAAAGTTCTCAAGCCACCCCACCAAGGGAATTTAGAAGGTTTCTTTTTCACCTTTAACTTTTCTTATTCCAAACCCAAATGCAAAGCCATAGGGATCAAAGATATATATATGTTGAACATTCATCCCTTTCATTTATCAAAAATGAAAATAACATTTACTGAATATTTTTTTTTATAAAATAATGAATAAAAAGTGTCACTATGAGCAAGAAATTCCCTTTCTTTTGAGGGCATGCGTGACCTTTAACATGGCACTTAGCAAGCCCTTTTAAATCATAACATGCAAAATTAATCTAAAAATAAATAAAATAAAAATAAAAACAGGATGCATCTATATTTAAGCTAGCTATATTTAGTGAATTTAGTTCAATTTGAACTAATCCAATTCCAAATCCAAATTTCTAATTCCAAATCCAAAATATAAATAATTTTGCTCATATTAAAAATATCGGAATCCTATGTGTCTTTAGATGTTATTAATCTTTTGAATTGATCAGCTGGGGTGGCTAGCTTTTTAGAGAGATTCATGGTTCTTTTTCTTTTATGATAAGGTGAGATTTATATATGCTTCATTGATTCACCTTTAAGGTAAAAAAGCTAGGGGTCTCGCTTCTTGCTAGATACTTCAATACTTGTCACATCTTCCCTTTCCTCAAACTAAACCGTAACCATTCCCTGCTCATTACTCATCATTATCTATACATATGTAATTCAATTGGTATAATATTAGAAATGAAATATGGTCAAAACAATTATTTTGAGATTCAATGCACAGTCATGGTTCATTTTTAATATATTAAAGCAAATTGAGAGTTTTTATTACTGTTCATTCTTAGATGCTATGGAAGGTACTTTTTTAGACTTGTCAGTTTTTACCCTTTCTTATTGCTATCGCTTCTTGTCAAGTCTTGATTGTCTCAATTCATTACAATACTACTTGGATAAAAATAAAAAATAAAATAAAAAAATTCTGTTTCACTTCTAAGAGTGCATAAACTAGCAAGTTGGCATCACCTAGGGTTTGGATGATTCAATAAAAAAGCATTTTTTTAAATAATTTAGCAGACTAAAGTACCTCCATGAAAAGTGGCCCTCCATTTTTAAAAAAAAATCCAGAAGGTATAGATGGGAATGGAATTGAAAACTTAAATTCATGATAGTTGTGGTTTTGTCACGGACCAAACAGGAGCTATATATGCTAAAAAGGAGAAGTATATACCAATATTTGTTCTATGTACGTGGTGAAGAAAGAAAAAGGCCAGCATTTGTTATTTAAATATACTCAGTACGTATCAAAAAATTGAATTGGCCATGATTGATAAATTCAACATGTCGATCAATCCAACTCACTTGGAAGTTAGAAACACATAATTTCTTATGCCTATTTATCTAACCCACAGAAGTACTCTTGTGAAGTTATTATGATTGCCATATCTCTATTTGCACTCATCATAATTATATCTATATATATATATATATATATATATATATATATATATATATATATATATTCTGTATTGTGTTAGGCAGAGTTCAGACTTCAGAGAGGCACATTGATGAGGGGGGAAGAATTACCCAATGCGGGCCACACTTCATCACGGGTTCTTCTATTACCAGATTCTCTCATGCAGAAGACCTCTCATAAAAGGCACCATTGCAGTAGTGCACCTACATTTTCATATTTTTTTTAAGTCGTTTTTTTTTTTTTTTTTTCACTTGCCCAATGAGTGTGTTTCTTTTTAAGGTAAAATAAAAAAAAATGTAAATATGAAACAGAAAATTCTTTATAGGGGTTCACCTATCCCACATTAGACAGTACAGTCATTTCTTGAATTGGGCCGGGCTATTGATATCATGATCATGGTCCATGGGCTTGAATTACAGAACCCAAGTTCATTGCTAGGTCCACGTTTAAAACGTACACCCACCAAATCAGCAAAGCGATTTTGATGGTGAAGTTAAAGCTTAGAGAGACAGTTGGGCCTGAGTTGGCTGCCAATAGGAGCCCAAATTTGGAGCACGTGAAGATCCCCAAGGACAAATCGTGGCCCACCAAACCTAAGGGAACATAACCTCACGTGAAAGGTAAGAATTGTAGAGAGGTTGTACCAACCTCCAAGTCACGAGCGCTGACTTGAACTCAGCCTCCAGTCACGTGTTCAACCCAAGTGCTTCCAAGACAGACAGAGACAGACAATAAAAAGGCCACCATAATATTAGTTTTAGTTTTTATTTTCTGATTGATGATTGGCTGGTCTCGAAGGAGAGGCTTTACAAATAGCAGAGTAGGACCAAAACTTCAGTATATAGTATTGGTATGTAATAATAATGATAGGAAACATGATTAGGCTAGTTTTTTTGGATCTTCCTCACCTGCATCACAGCTGCTGGTCTTGTCACAAGTATTGAAAGCATATGACATTTAAGTTTCAAATTTTGATGGCCAAATAAATTCCTTTGTCCGACCATAGCCAACTTCTAAATGAATAATATAATTTATTTTATATGTTTAAATTTTGATTTTTCCCAGGATTTTAAAAAATAAAAACTATTTTTCTACTCTTGCAAAATTTTCCTGGAATATTTCAGTTCTGTCAATGCTTTTCAATTCATGGCCATCCATCCAACTCCATTGAATGACTGTTAACTAAGATTCAACAAGTTTATATTAAAGCACATCCTTTTTCATGATCAGTAACCATGAAAAACAGGGAGAATATATATATATATATATATAAACAAAGGAATATTGTACTTTTCAATTTTACTTGTGAAAGAGAGAACATGCATGATATCAGCTTTGGGTATTTACCAAACTTTCTCCCCAGTCAATAGATTCAGAAAAAACAAACAAATATAGAACAATTTGAAACATTAACTCATGTAACAAAAGCATGAAATGACTCCATTGTGCACTCTTGAATACCCTGGAAAAGAAAACGTCAAAGTATTAACCAGTAACCATCACCAAAAAAAAACTAATCCTCCAACTCAATTCACTTCAATTTTCCAAAGGGGTAAAACATGTCAAGTATTCGAATCAATGTGATATAGTAAGTATGATAACAGATCATAGACCACAAAAACAAAAGTAGTAAATAAAATATATATAAGAATAATTTGTCATTATGACCATTGCTTAGAGTAACAGAATTGCTTCAACAAAACCCATATATCTATAAAACACAGATAAGGTTCAAATCTTACCCTTGCCCGACAAAACAAAATGACACATAACGACTATACCTTAACATTAAACTTGTTAATTACGAGCACAATGCAGATATGTGAAGAAATAAGCTTGAAAGAAATTTTTGGAAGAAAAGGCAATAATGTTCAGATCCTCTTTTGTTATATATAGGATCCAATAAACTTGAGGGTAGACCAGATCACGAAACATAAGTATCTTTAATCATTCCCCCAAAATGCAAAAGATTGAAAGTCAAATTTGCAATCTACCCAGCAATTCATGCTGTAACCTTATGAATATCATGCTGCCAACGGAGATCAAACAAATCTGTGAATGAATATCTCAAGGTTATCACCTGTAAAGAAAACATGTGAATGTTCAAGGAATCAAGTTGCTTCTTTAGGAGATGCCATTTTGACATGTTTAATAATTGAACAAGGTGTTAATAAATAATGAATGATGATGATAATTACTACTATAATTTTATAACTATTACTATTATTATTAACTTGATAAGGTGGCTGACTAAAGTTGTCTACAATTTGGCAAGTCATCATTCTTGAAACCACTTGTGTCACTTCAGGAGCTGGAATTTTTTTAAAAAAAACTCGCCAATTAATAAACACAAGACCACATGGATTACTTGATGTTGATGGAAGCATATAAGCCTTATCAAGTGATCAGTTTGAATTGACCATACTAGCCCCTCTCCCTAGGATAGGAAAAGCATGTTTGTTTCGTTTCACCTTTAATGACGACTTTATGGTACTGATCAAACTTTTTAAGTAAAAATGGATATCCACGACCAGTAAAACAATCATCTAACTTCATAAAGTAAATATCAATATACCTCACCATTATCGGAGAGCATTCAGACCCATATTTGCTTCAGGAATCTAACAAACCAGTGAGAATGAAGATGGAGGGTTTCTCTTTTCTTTTTCTTTTGTTTTAGTTGATTTCTGTTTTATGACAGCAGCAGTCCATATATTTTACAGTAATTCCTTAAAACAATATAGACAGTTTCATATATTTTCCCATTCAATGAGAAGTGCTTCTGATGGGTGTTGCATCATACCAATGAGTGGTAATCTAT